GTAATTAAAAACTTGTAGCCTATCCGGCTGGTAAAGTTGTGTTTCAGATTAATGAAACACCTTTTTCACGTTGCACTACGAAGTGAAAAATGCAGTAGTTAAAAACTGTTTACTGTTACTTGTCTAACTAATGCTGATTGTTGCACTGAAGTGCAATAGGAGACAATAGGAGACGCAGCTTCTACAAAGTGTTATGAATAGGCTTGATTTCAAACAGCGAATAATAGGTAATAGGTGCAGGTATATATGTTTTCATGCATGCTTGACATTTTCTTCCTCTGAAATATTACCTTGTATTGTATCGTTTTTTTTACTAATTAGTTTTTCTTCTTTAAAATGTATTTTGTTTCAATTCTCCACGTGTATTATGACATTGAATATAAAATTCTGCATGCATTTTTGTGTGGATTACCTAGAAGGGGCAGAGAAAAGGGGATGACAATTATATACAGGCAATCAACATATAAGTGGGAATATCCATTAAGTTTTTATTTTATGAATGTGTTATGTCTCGGGTTTACTGTGTTAGCTCCTGAATGGACTTGTGATAAACAGTGCAATTTTGAGTCTGGCTTTAGGAAGAGGAATACATTTGGCCTCAAGTTATATGGAAGAGGTCATATGCTAGAATAACGACATGATCCAGTATGAACTTTGCTGTACTGTCAGCAGCTGACACTTCAAGGCCTTTATTGTCCAATGAACTGTGGTGTCATTTACACTAATGCAGACATTGTGTAAAATACCATTTTTGTAATTCTGTGTGCAGATTTAAGGAGTGCAAACTGCCCTCTTGAGCTTTAAAAAAATCACATGCTTAAGCATTTTGTAAGTGCCGATTGGTAAAGCATGTTTCGTGTCTTTGTTTAGGGTTCTGTTACTTTGCCAGACACAGACATATTTTGATAGACTTTTTTTTTTTTTTTTAACAATAAAATTGATGCTAAGAGTTGAGAAAGAATGTAAATACTTGCTTAATTTACCACTGAAAGCTTGGTGCCTTAGTATACCAAACCAAAGGCACCCGTCTCCGGAGCATCTGTTTCTTTTCAGTTATTGTGACTTTCAGTTGGGTATATAATCTTTATGGTACTGACAACAGTCAGAAGCTCCGAGTATATGGCGTAATTGCTTTGATTCTGATTTACGCAGAAACCTCTTTCTGCCATGTTGTGGTGATTGAGTAGAATGGCTTTCAAAAACATGTGAGTAGTTTCAATGAGCAGCTTAATACTATCTATTAATGTAATTACCTACGTACAATAATGTGAAATGCATGCAGATTAATGCCTTCTGAGGATGAGGACTACGTTCTGAGGCACTTTTGGCTTAACATAGTGTGCTAAAGGTCTTTTTGAAATGTAGACTTTTAAATTATACTAGCATAGTGTTGAAAATACATGATAATGAGGTAAAAGGGAAATCTTAAATACCATTGTGCAGCTAGTTTATTTTGGTTTATTTACTGATGCATTTTAACCATTATGTAATGATTGAAAGTCTGAAAGCTTATGTAATAGAGTTGAAAGCAGAATTAGATGTAATAAGAAAATGTCACTGGATTTGTATTGAACCTAGTATTGAGACAAAAAACGTAACAGAAGGGAACCTGTAGTAAAATGAAGATGTGTTTGCTTTTTTTCCAGCTCTAGAGTTTGATTTATCACATGCTGAAAAACTGTCGTCAATGTATATACAAATCGTGAAATACATTTGAAAGTTGCTGTATGTTAAATTAGGTTTTCCAGACGCAGTGTTAGTGCTACTTGTTAAGCATAGAGCCTTCCACGACAAAGGCAGTTATTATATAGAATTGTGAGCTAATATGTCCTGTACTGAACTGCATTATCTTACATAATGTATCATTTGATAAAAGAACAGGTTGTTCCATGGGTTTGTGAACAGGTTTTTCACAGCTTTATTTCTCAAGGTTGGATTTTGTGGTCTTAATTTGTTGTCCAAGTTTCTGTATTCTTTTCTATCTGTCACTCTCGTGATTTCTTATATGTTTTTCCCCCCTCTCCATTGATGGATAAGCTCTGCAGATTTTATTAATGCCTTCTCAGTGTGGTGCATTAGATGAATCTATCTCTTGTCTACTCAACATCCCATTTTCATTAAACTTGTAGGAATATACTGAGGTAGTTCCTCCTGTGAAATGTCTTCTGTGCCAACTAATCAGTGGTTCGATCATTACTGTGGATCGAGACACATAAATGGACAAGCACAGAAAGCAGACTGAAGAAGCCTTACAGAGGCAATATTTATCAGTAACGGGACTGGTATTATACCTTATAAAGCATAGCCGTTACAACTTAATGGGAGAGAGAGAGGAGATGACCTTCACCAGGAGAGAGGGAGGAGGACAAACTGCAATGCTGATGCTGTAGCTGCCTGCACATATAACACCATGACTGATTGCAAAGAGGATTCACAGAGATGGAGAGCTGTCTAGACAGTGGCAGTCTAGACAGTGTACCAGTTTACCCGAAGGACTTAATCTACAATCTTTAGTCATGTAAAAAAATACTTAGTACCTTGTTCAGGTTCTTTGTGCTAGGGCATTTTATGGCAGTTAAGATGTTGACTTATTTAAGATGAAAATGGAAGCCTCAATGCTTATTTGTTGTTGGCACAGTTGTGATGTCACTGTTGGAAAGTTAAAAAGCAGCAATTATAGCTGAGATCTGAAAGCTGTTTTATAATTTCACATGTACAACACAACTCCTTACTAGAGATTGTAGCCATGGCAGCAGTGGTTGCTGCTCATTGTGAATAGCTGCCATGTAGTTACCTTCTCTCAGCGAAATAGAGGAATTTAATAGTGATTTTTGTTAAGTACAAAGTTTTTAAAACTCTCTTCAAAAGGAAGCCTGCATCTGTGTTTCCTATCTTCTGTGCTGTTAAATAAAAATAGAGATGAATAAAAACATACTGGATATGGATGCAGGAAAAGACAAGACAATTGTTATTTTAAATCCTGGCTGGTACATCATTTAGCTATGATGCCTCCTGCTTCTCTTATAGGGTCCCCACTCCTTTTATTGTGCAATCAAATCCTGGCTGAGTATCTGAACATGAATTGGAAACAGAACATTACAATAATAAACGAATCCACCATTTTGGAAACGTTCATTCATGCATTACATCTACGGTCTGTAATGCATTTTTAACCTTTTACGCTTTTAAACGTGTGCTAGTCATGTTCTCACTCTGCACACTTGTTTTCATCTGAATAGAGTTCTCTCAAAGAGACTATCTCTTTTCATCTGCAGATTGCTTGTTTGGGTAAGACACGTAAGATTACACAAGTGATTCACAGGTTCCCTTACATCTGTTTATCTGAGTTCAGACTAGAGCATCAAAATCATGGTGAATCACAATATTAGATATGTTTACTTATAGAAATGGCAAATAGTAGGCTGTTATTTTTATACATTTTTTTTCTGTCTTAACTTTCAAGAAAAGCAGAACTAAACATCAAATGCTTTTGAGGCTTAAACTGAATGCCATATATTCATGTAATTTACATACTTGTAAAGCCACAAAGAACTATGTATAAACATTCCTTAAAACCAAGAGCTAGGAGACAAGTTGAAGATATATGTATATACACAGGAAAAAAAGAGAAGGGTCTAAAAGACAGGAGAAGGACAATTGAAGTGATAAATGGAGGTATAGTAACGAGTTCTCAGGTTCCTACAGAATCAGTCGTGTAGTCCAGAAATATCATATAGTTGCAGTCATTCCTCAGACCGTTTGGAGCCGTTTGGAAAGTCATCAGTAGAGCATAGTGAATAGTAAGAGAATTCTTAAATACCAGAATCACTTCTGTCTGAAAAATTAATATAGTTTTGTGTCATTGTTGTAGTCTTCATTCAATTCCAAATACGTAGAGCATTACATAGGAAGGTCATCTAATTTCATGGGAGTATTTGCCATGTTACAATTTGATTTTATCTGATTCAGAATAAAATTCCCTTATTTTTTTTAATTCTCTATGAAAGGGAGAACTGAGGTTTTTCTGTCAAAATTGATCTACAGACAGCTGCAAGTTATGGTACTTCCATGCTTTTGCCCTTGACTTTGTGGAACTTTTCCTGATTTGCTGCCCCAGATCTATAGATTTTTTGGAAAGGCTAATTGCTATTACCAACTCAAGCTGTGATGGTTTAATGAGACAGAATTAAAAGCTGTCTGTCTGACAGGAGGCAGACTCCAAGGTTTGGGTAGGCAAGACAGCTCTTTTTTATCTGTATTTTTTTTTTTTCTCTCTCTTAACTGAAGAGTAACTGTGTCCAGAAATCCTCTGCAAGACTGGTGCCAGTGTATGCAAACATCCAGTATGGGCATGCCCTGGAAGAGGTAAACTAAGCAGG